GGGAGGCGGTGGGGGAGTCGAAATTGTGGGCATCGGGGGCCCGGGACGAGTAAAGCATCGTCGGCCGATTCGCAGCCCCGAAGATTCTCAGTTGGAGCTTTGCGCCCCTCCAGGTCTGTCATAGCCTCCTCTCCTCCTTTTGGGATCCCCCAGAATCTGTCTGCAACAGCTGTCAGGCTCGTGCTGCTACGTCACACAAGGACCAGGCAGAGAGCGGAATTCTCTCTCCTTGCTGAAGTGCCTCCATCCAGCCTCCGTCACCTGCCTCCGTGTCTTCAGATCTAATGCAGCGCTCCCCTGTGGTTGGAACCAGTCACAATGCTTTTTTATTCAGAAAAATAATCCCTGAAAGGTCTTAGCTTTCACTTGCACCCCGGAGCTTCTGAGCAGAGTTGGCAGTAATTGAATATGGCCACGTCCTCTTCCAACCATGTTGTCTGACGGAGTCCGGACACGGGGAGGGAGCTTCACGGAGGCATCTCCTGGGAGAGGACGTGGCACGGGGGTGGCATTAATCGTTATTACGGGAGTTATAATATTGGGAATTGTTATTCTACTATATGACTACCCTGGGAATAGCAAACAAGGTATCTGAAGTCATGCCTCTTCAAATAAATTCTGAAGAAACTCCAGCTTCCCCTGAAACAGTCACACTGCATGTCCAGACTGTCTTAACAATTTACTAATTCAGTTAGGTACAAATTTCCCCCGAAAGTCCCTAATAAACAATGCGTGGATGAATGGCAACAGGTAGAGCTCATGGAGGCACCTTATACCCCTGTGCCTCCTCCCCAGATAGAAAGAGTATTTCTGGAGAATAGAAGAAAATTGTATCGACCCCTACCCACTGCTCAAGGGTTTCCTCATATAGCTTATTGGATAAAAGAAAACTATGGTCCCACCTAGAGGGGCCAGAAGTACACAAAGGACTCCTGACCCTCCCTCGCCCTTTACAGGAGCATATGACGAAGATGGAATAAGAACAGTTAACAAAGACTACAGACTACATGTTCCTTGGGCCAAGGCCCCCCTTGGTGTTTACGCACAAAGGAACAAAAGAAATCTCAGTCATTGCAAATGAATAGGTTTCCTAAGAAATGCTGTCCCGAGTTAGTTAGGGAAGTAAATCAAAAACTAACTGATCTAAAAACCCAGAACTAGATTTTAAGTAAAGGTCAACTATTAACCTCAGACAAAGGGCCTATTGAGAACTCTGTCTACAACCACCTTATAGGTCACTCTAGTCCTTCCCTTGATAGTATCTAATAAACACAAAAGGTCATAAATTAATTCCGATGAAAATGAAACTAACATCCTGGTTCTATGGGATGAAACTTCTATAGCCGCAAATGTTAAATTTAGGCCAAAAAAGAAAGTATATAAGCACACAGAAACTTGCAATAAATCGGAAGAGTGTCACACTGCTTCTGAGTCGTGTAGTCATCTGTCTCCCAGCGCCGATGCCTGACCCCCTCCGGGCCCCCCCCCCGGCCCCCCGCTGCGGCTGGACTGCGGCGGAGTATACTGCTGGGATCCCCGTTACTCTGCCAATACATTTCGGGAAGTCTCGCTCGCCCCTGAGCGTACTTTCCCGTCGGTGCGATCGTCCTGCTCCGTGCTGCCGCGTAGGACTTCAAAACTTCTCCTTCACGTCCCCGCTCCACGCAACTGTCACGGGGTTCGGGTGGGATCATGAAAGAGGACGAACGGATCAGACGCTGTGCTCAAACCGGGCGTCAGCAGAGGGCTCCACACTCCCTGCTGAGCCCCGAGCCAGTGTTCTGCAGCGTAAAACACTGGCGATAACAATCCCTCCAGGACACCCTGTTCTATTCACAACTCAACCATTTCCGTAAAGAAGAGCAGTTCCTTGGGCCGGGCACACCCCTGTCCTCGGCGGCTGGCCTCCAAGGAGTCTGTGGGCTTGCACCCCGGCAGGCCCAGGTGCCCGACCGGCCTTCTCCGAGGGACCCCTGCGCGCTCTGTTCTTGTTTACCCAGAGTCACAGGGCTCGGCTCCAACCAGGGCCGCCCGGAGCTCACCACCCTGGGGGCAGAGCGTCCGCTGGGACAGGTGAGGACGTTCTGGGGAGGACGGCGGGGACGCTGTAGGACAAGGAGTGTGCTCAGTGCTGAGCGTCTGCAAATGGCTGAGGCGACACCTTCTCTGTGCGTTTTACAATAAAAAAAACCCTCACGCAGAATGTAAAACTGTCAAGCTTTTAAAAAAAGATAACCCCAAAGACGGTCATCGGCCCTGGGCAGGGAAATAAGACCGGAGGCAGTAACCACGAAGAAAGACACAGATAAAGGGGACCCATCACAGCCGCGGACGCCTGTGTGCCCTGTGACCTCGGGGCCGCCGTGTCTGTCCCGCGCAGGGTGCGTGTTTCCGATCTTTGCTCCCAGCCTCCACCCAGCGTTTACCTTTCTACTTCCTGGGGTCCGTGCTCCCTGAGTAGCTTTCCACGGGTGGGGGCGGGGGTCACCTTCCCGAGTCCTTGTACGTTGAGAAGGTCTCGTTGTAAATGCTAAGTGATGTTTCCGTTGAGTGTAGAATCCAGTCCTGAACCCCCTCCCTGGGCACTCGGGAAAGGCTGACCGTCTCCCTGCGTCCTGCATCACGGGTGACAAACCTGACACGCCCGGTCCTCATCCCTTTGGGGGCAGACCGTCTCCCCTGGTGGCTTCCAAGTTCTCCCTTTCACGCTGTCCCCAAACTCACTGCCAGGCACTCGGGGTGGATCTGCGTCTCCACCTTCCTGGGCTCCCAGAGTCCTCCGGGTCTACGACACGTCTGCGGCCGGCACCAGCTGCTGTCTGCGCACACAGAAGGCCCCTCGGCAGTGGGGCTCCCCACACCCCCTCCCCGCGGGCGCCGGCGGCTCCACGGACACTCCCTCCGTGCTTCTCAGCTGCGGCCGATTCCACGTCTCTTCTGAGGGTCATGGCTCTGTGTCTGGGGTGGGGGTGCCCAGGTGCCCACCTGCAACCATGAAGTTGAAGCGGCCATCTGTCTCCTGGCCATCTTCACGCTGACATTCACAGTCGCCTCCCCGTCTCGTGCCTGACGGTGCGGCTCCGGAGTCAGTGTCAGGACTGGCGCCGCATCCTCCTGCCGGAGCAAGTCTCAGTGCGGTGCTCGGGCCCCCGGTAAGGGTGCTTGGGCCCCCCGTAAGGACGCTCAGCACCCCCCCAAGGACGCTCGGCCTCCCTGTAAGGACACTTGGTCTCCCCGTTAAGGACGCTTGCCCCCCCCGTAAGGACGCTCGGTCTCCCCGTAAGGACGCTCGGGCCCCCCCATAAGGACGCTCGGGCCCCCCCTGTAAGAACACACAGTCTCCCCGTAAGGATGCACGGCCTCCCTCATAAGGACCCTCTGGCCCCCGTCAGGACGCTCGTCCCCCCCCCCAAGGACGCTCCAGCTGCCCCGCTGGGGTGGTTCTCGGGGCTGAGAGGGAAGAGGCGGGAAGCTCGTCAGCGTGAACAGGACTCTCCCGGCCCAGGCACCTGCCAGCCGTGTTTGGACTGCGCAGAGGCACACGGGTTGTGCCGAGGACGGTGGAGGTTTGGGGAGCACGTGGGTTAACGAAGACGTGGGCCGGTGTCACCCGGCCGTGGAACCCCAGGAACTCAGACCATGAGACACCAGCTGAGTGTACAAAATTGCCCCCGTGGGGACTAGGAAGCAGCCAGCCTCACCTGCAGTGCACGTGCCACCGTGTCAGCCCACTGGGCCCCCCAGGTGCCTGTCCCCACCAGGCTTCCTGGGGAGGGGTGGGGGCCAGGGCGCTGGCAGCGGCCCCTGGCAAGAGCCAGGCCGCCCTCCCCAGGAGCCGGGGACCGGCCCATGGGGGAGCAGAGCCCTGTAAGTAAACGTGAGTCGCCGTCCCTGTCACTGGGCGGGTCCCGAGATGCTGGGAAGGCCCCAGAAGACCCTCCCACCAGCCCGCCTTTGCCCCAGGCGGCGGCAGCCCGTCACCGTCCTGCCCACTTGGCGGTCATTTCTCGTCCCTCCTGTGCGGGTCAAGCCCAAAGCCGGGGCACCCTCTGCCTCACTGCCTGCCACCCCCTGCACGTGCTCTGGACGAGCGACCCACGGGGGGTGGGGGCTGCCTCAGAGGAAAGGAACCCACACACAGGTGGAGGTGTGCCGGGTGCCCTGAAGAAAATACCTGCGGGAGGGAGTGTGGGCAGGCGGGGAGGGGCCGGCGGGGCAGCGGCTCCCTGGAGGTCTGAGCAGCGTTGCCCCCCCCCCCCTGGCCCATCTCTGAGCTGCCCCGGCCAGTGGGCCGCTGCTCCCTATGTGCCTCCTGTTGGCTGGTCCAGTCCTTCTCCACCTGGGACCAGCTTCCTGATGCTGAAGGTGTCTGAGCCCTTGGCCGACCCCTGGCTCCTGCCAGTGTCCTGACAGCCCCCCCAGGACTGACCCGGGCCCCCGCCCCTCCCGGCAGGTCCAGCACAAGCCCGGGGCTGCTTTGCAGCCTGTGGGGCCCGGCAGCCCAACTGGCCGATGGAGGGGAGAGCCCAGGGCAGACCCTGTGGCAGAAAGAGACCACGACCAGGACCTGTGCACGATGCTCAGTGTTTATTTGCAGGGTTGGGGCTGGGTGAGCAGAGGGCTTCAGGGCACTGCCCCTCCCCGGCCCCTCGGCCACCAGGTCCCGACGTGGGCGGGCAGCACCCTGCCTGACGCCCGTCCTGGAGGCGCTGGCCTGGCCTGGCCCGCGGTGAGTCCGCTGCTGAGGTGGCCGGCGGGAACCCGTGCTCCGTGGGGCTGCAGGGCTGGTGGGGTCCACGGGACCGGCGAGGGGCACCAGGGCTGTGTCCCTCTGACACCAGGAAGGGGTGAGTCTGGGCGGAGGGGTGTTTGTTTCAGATGAGGGCCGCCCCAATGGCAGGGCCCCTGCCCAGTGCCCTCTGCAGGATGACCTTCACTGTGCTGCCAGGTGTGGGTTCCACCCAGGGCAGGAAGGCAGGTGGGGGCAGAATGGCAGCAGACAGGGGGGGCCCCTAGAACGGCAAGACATGGGTGCTGTCCCCGGGAGCCGCAGGCGGGGACACGCAGGACAGGGCACAGCGGCAGTCGTCTATGTGGGTGTAGGTGTGCTGGACGGCCGTCCCATCGGGGCACCGCAGGGTCACCACCTCCTCGTGGGCCTTGGTCTCCTGGCAGCAGGTGCAGCGTCGCTGCAGGGCCTGGGCCTCGGCGGAGTACCTGTGGGCACGCGGCCGGGAGGCGGCTCACTGCCTGGCCTGTGACGGCTTCGCGGGCGGGCGTTCGGGGTCCCCTGGAGCCCCCACCTTTCCCGCCAGGCACCCTTTCCTCCCCAAACCAGCTCCTCAAACTTGCTGACCCCGCAGACTCCTCCTCCGGGAACCTGCCTTGGCCCCTTCGACCGCCCTCCTGGCCGAGGACTCAGCGGGCAGCAGCCCTGCCCGGAGGGCCTGGTCCACCCCCAGCGGACACTGCCCCCGGGGCCCTGGACACAGTGACCCAGGCACGGCTCGGAGGGTCAGGGGAGGCCCCAGGAATTCCTCAGATGGGCCTGGAGAGAGGGGAGCTCCTCTGTCGCCCCCTATCCTCCTTGCCGGACCCTCCCCCAGCACAGGGCGGTGGGCCGGGCCAGGGCCAGGTGGGCACTGGGTGGGGATCTTCCGGCCTGGGTGGGCTCCCCGCTTGCCCTCGGGCCCCGCGGCTGAGCACAGGCGGCTGGGGAGGCGCAGCGTCCACTCACTTGGACTCTCCCGGGCAGGCGCCCTCACAGAAGGTGAGGTTGGCGGGGGCCTCGCAGCCCTGGTGCCGCAACACCGTCCTGTTGACGCGGACCTGGCAGGAGTCTGCACAGAGGACGGGCCATGGAGGCCGCTAAGGCCCGGACCTGGGGCCGCTCCCGCCCACAGGGCCGCCCTGGCCGAGCTGGGGGGCGGGGCAGAGGCGGCCCCCACTTACCCTCTTCCTCGCAGGAGTAGCAGCAGCCGATTTTCCTGAGGACGCCCTGCAGCAGAGGACAGGCGGGCTGGGGGCGGGGCGGGCTCCTGGGGGGGGGGACAGGGCGGGGCCCTGGGCGGGGCCTCCTGAGAGGGCGGGGCCCTGGGAGGGCGTGGAGGGTTTCCAGGGAACAGGGTGTGACTTCCTGGTCGGGGCGGGGCGGGGCTCCCAGGGCGGGGCTTCCTGGGCGGGGCATGGGTGGGGCATGGGTGGGGCACACACCCTGCAGCTGGACACGTCCGGGCAGGGCGCAGGATTCGGGACCAGCACAGGGACCCCGCCCCCCGTCTGGCAGCGGTACTCCGTGCAGTTGTCCGCGAGGCCGTCCACCCAGGTCTCGTTGGGCTGAAATGCACGGGGGAGAGCGCAGACCGGGTGGGGGTTACCTCGCCCCCAAGAAGGGCAGGAGGGGAGGGTCTGCTGGGGGAGGGCTGAGACCCACCCCCTTACCTGGACCAGCTGGCCGTCAGGCGTGAGGCAGTCCGTCTGCACACACTCCCCGCAGCACTGCCCAGCCACCGTGGAATACTCAGAGCCCTGGGGTCAGAGGGGTGGTCACGTCTGCACCCCAGCCCTGCTCCCCAGCCCTCCTGCCCCCTCCACCACACCCCAAGGGCCCGGCAGCCCCCACACTCTGAAGCCCTGTCCCTGTCCATGGCTGGAAAGGCAGAAGTTGTTCAGGTCTGGCTCTGAGGGCCAAGGGGATGCCCCTGGTCCTGCTTCCAGGCCCCCCCCCCCCAGCCTCCTTCTGCCCTCTGGGACCTGGTCCCAGGCCCCCGCAGCCTGCAGGCCCTGCCCACCCCACCCCACCACCTTCCTGCTTCGTAACCTTCCTCTGGGAAAACAAGACCCCAACAAAGGTTGAGCTGAGAACCTGCCCTGGGGTCTGGGTGCCAGCGACTGGAAGATGCGGCCGGGCAGGCATGCCGGGGTGTGGGTCTGCCCGAGGGGCCGGCTCACCTGGGCACAGGTCGTGTTGCAGGTGGTCTCCTCGCACTGCACAGTGGGGCTCTGGGCGTCCGCAGACCGGCAGGTGCACATGTGGCAGGGAACGACCCCTGGGAAGGTGGCACCGACCTGCGCGGAGGGGAGGGTGAGCAGGGACCTCCGCCCGGACTCGGTGAGGCCCACGGGTGGATGCCGCTGCTTCACGCAGAATTACGGGTGTGCCCCTGGCCAGGCGCAGGCCAGGAGAGAAGCAGGACCCAGGCAGAGGCAGTGGGCAGGGACCCGGGCAGGCGGAAGGGGCCGAAGGGTGCGGTCCTGCCCCAGGGGTCTTCCCCGGAGGACGCTGCTGGGAGACCCAGGGTCTGGACAGAGGCACCGTGTCCCCTGTGTCCCCACCCAGCTCGAAAGAGCCCAGGGCCCCTCTGTGTATCTGCTCTCATGGCAGGAGGGGCAGGCAGGGCTAGAGCCGGCGCTCCACAGTGGGGGTGCGGGCCTGCCACCCCCCAACTCCACTGCCCCCCCCCCAGGCCACTGAGCCCTTACCCCATAGAAGGTGTCATTGTAGGTGCACAGCTTAGGCCCTGGAAGGAAAAGGAAAGCTGACACCCCCTGTCCCCCACACCCACCCCAGAGAACTCCCAGCCCCACCCACTCACAGCAGATGAAGGTGGGGCAGCAGCTGTCCTCTTGGATGCGGACCAGCACCTCTTCTGGCCCACATTTCGGGGGGTTCTGGGGGCAGGTGGTCACATTGCAGACTGCAGGAGAGATGAGGCGCTGTTGGGGGTGACCCCTGTCCTCCCCACCCTGCTAGTTTCTGGTGTAACAGGGTTTCCCCAAGTTGAAGCCAAAGAAGTATTTTTCTCTGTGGGGGCTAACCACTCTCTGTGGTCCTTCTGGGTGCCCTCCAGGTCCCCTCGCTGTCACCAAGTCCCTGGGAAGACGGGAGGTCACCAGCCTCACTTTTAGGTGGATAAGTGCAGCACCCAGAGGCCTCCCCACCTCGGGGGTCCAGCAGTGGTCCAGCCAGGATGCGGCGGCCCTCTGCCCTGCGGGCCCTGCTGGCTGGGGGGCTGCCCGCACCCCCTCTGCTGGTTCCCCCCACCCCTGGGGCCCGGAGCGGGGCTCACCGCACAGCGTCTCCTGGCAGCAGGGGTTGTCGGCCCGGGGCCTGGTCACTGTCGTGAAGCCAGCCTGGTTGCACTCCAGGGGCGGGTCCCGGGCCTCGCACTGCACGGGGACGCACTGCACCGACGTGGTGCCCTCGTCACACACACAGGCCTGGCAGTTGCTGACCCAGCGCTCCCCGGGCTGGAACAGACCAGGTCAGGGTCCCCGAGGGCTCCGGGGGCATGCCCTAGCCTCAGGCTGCACCCCCTGGCACACCAGGCACAGCCTCCCCGCGGCCAGGCCACCCTGCCCCTCCTCCAGCCCCCATCTCCGGACCAGCCCTCGCGACGGGGACACACTGCGCCCCGAAGCGCCCCACACCAGCCCCCCCACGGCTGCCCAGGCAGAGCTGGCCACCGCGAAGAGGGCTCTCCCCCTCCTCCTGCTTCAGGTGGGGCCGGTGGGGGCAGAACCACTCACGAATTTAGGAAACCCGTCTGGTCCCACGCAGGCTGGAAGGAGAGGAGAAGGGGTCACAGGGGGTCCTGGGGTTCGCAGCCAGTGGCAGAGGCCACAGGCCACAGGGACAGCCCCTCAGGCCTGGCCACTCCCCAGCCACGCCCCTGTCCTCCCGGGAACAGAAGCCCCTGGGGAAGCCCAGGGTTCACGGAGCCGGCTCAGCAGGGCTCCAGGCCTCACCTCTGCTGGCCCAACGCGTTGGCGCTGGGCTTGGGCTGCGGGGGCCCAGGACAGGGGTGCGCCCCCGTGCCTCCTCCCCGCCCCACCATCACCAGCCGCCCGCTCTGCAGGGCTTGGCCAGGGACCCCGGCCGAGGGTGCTTACTGCACTGGGGCACACAGACGTCCGTGTGGGCGTTGAAGAGGGTTTGGCCATCAGGGCAGTAGCAGCCCTCCGCCAGCCCCTGGCTCTCCCAGCTCTGGCTCCTGCAGGGCGAGGGGGGAGTCCTGGGACCCTGCACCCACGTGGACCGGCGGTCCCAGGGGGAGGGCAACGGCGTGGATGGAGTGCTGGGGTTGGAGGTCGGGGTGGGGAAGGGCACCCCAGAGATCCTGGCTGCTCCCACATCCCCAGACACCGCCTGGCTGGTGCTCACCTGATGTCACAGGACAAGGGCTGTGCGGGGCCACACGGCTTGTACACCTTTCCAGGGGGGCAGGTGAGGTCTGGGGGCACAGAGACGGATGTCAGGTGGGCCAAGGAGGCCAGAGCCCCCAGCGGCCGCGCCCAACTCACCGCACAGCCCGCCGGTGGCGTTCCGCCAGTCGCTGCACACGCCCCGGACACGGCAGAGCGCCGCGTAGGCCTCCAGGCTCTCGCAGGGCGCCTCGGGCCGGCCAGCCTGGCAGGCGGTGCTCACACAGGTGCTGAAGAACAGGCCGGGCGGGATGAGGCTGTGGCACGTGGCGAAGACGCTGTGGGCAGGGCAGAGCGAGGTTGGAGCGGGGAACCGGGTCCTGGGCCGACGGGGTCCCTGCCCCAGGACGGCCAGGCCCCAGGGAGGGACTCACGGGCTCAGGATCAGCTTGCAGACGGGTGCTGGGGGACACGGCGCAGAGGTGGGCGTGGTGGGCACCCAGGAAGGGGGGCTGCTGGGTGTGGGCGGGCCGATCCCTGGGCAGTCCTCCTTGCCACTCTCGGGGACCAGCCAGGTGGGGGCCATGTCGTGGCAGCTGGGGGCCGTGGTGCCATCCGGCCGGCGGCAGTCGTCCGTCTTGCTGTTGGTGCAGGTGCCTGGGGAGGGCGGGGCCGGGAGGGTCTCCTTGGGGCCAGGCAGCCAGCCCCTCCTTCCCCACCACCTCCGTTCCGGACTCAGTTACGAAGCTGACTACCGGGGCACGCGGCAGGGGAATGGGCAAATCTGGGGGTGGGGGTGCCGCCCCGGGGGCCACGGGCGGACATGAAGGAGGGGCCCCTGCTGCGCCCCGCTCACCGCACTGGCCCTCAGTGTTGTTGCTGAAGTGACCGTAGGGCAGCTGGATCTGGAAGACGTGGCCATCGAAGGCCACGCTGACGCCGATGGCCGGGATGCTGACGCGCATCCCGCTGTTCCCGGCCGTGGACACGCTGACGCCGTTCTTGCTGAAGCCCTGGCTCACCCGCACGCCGTCGAACAGGATCTGGGGGCGCACAGGCACCGTCACCGGGGGTGGGGGCCCATGCTCCGCAGCCCACCCCCTCAGGGCTGGGGTCCCCGTGGGCCGTGCCCGTGCTCACCAGACTCTCCTCCTGCCCGCCGGCGGTGGTCGTGGTGGTGAGCACGACCTCCACGGACTTGTAGTGGAGGCTGAGGGCGCGGGGGCAGGGGGCGGAAGCGGGGGCGGCCTCGCAGTAGTGGTTGTGGAGGAGCACCGTGAGGTTCCCGTGGCGGGGCCGGGCCTCCCGCACCAGCACGTAGGTGCAGTTGCCCCAGAAGGAGTAGGGGGTGCCGTCGAAGGTGATGTAGTGGGAGCCCCCCCAGCCGCTGCAGGAGCCTGCGGACACACACAGTCCTCACCCAGTGCCACCCAGCATGGCCACCTGGGCCTCAGCTGCCACGTTTATAAAAAGGGTGAAGGGGCCGTTGGTGGCCTCAGGACACATCCACTAAGAACCTTCAGACGTGGCCTCCTGTGGGGAAGGGTCGCCACAGCTGTCATTACATTAAGGAGCTCGAGGGGAGGTCCTCCCGGATCACCAGGGGCCCTAAGTCTGGTGATGAGTGTCCTCCGAAGGGACAGAGAGAGGGGCGGGGCCACGTGAAGATGGAGGCAGAGACCACAGCCCAGGACAAGGCAGGAAGCCCCGTCCCTGCGCTTTGGGGCGCAGCGGCCCTGGGACACTGGCACCTCAGACGCCACCTCTAGGACGAGGAGCCGGCCCTGCCGCTGGGAGCAGCCCGTCTGCCAGCCTCCCCCGGCCGCTCTGCAGGAGGCGGGCAGGACCCCGAGCACCGCGCCCTGCAAACCCCGTCTCCACCCCCTGCCTTCCGGTGTGCGCAGGCCCGGCACCCCCGGCCAGCCCTGGTGGGGTCCGGCCGGCCCCACGCCGCCCGGGTCCCCGGCCGCCGCTCACATTCACACTCGTAGTGCTGTTGGCAGGGCTCCTGCGGGCTCTGCACTCTGACCGGCTGGTGCCCGTTCACACAGGTGACCTGGGGCGTGGGCTTGGGCGGCAGCAGGACAACGCGGTTGTCGCCCTCACACCGGGCCACCGTGCAGTCCTCCAGGGTCCAGGACTCATTCACCTGCAGGCAGCAAGCAGAGCCAGGTGGGCTCCAGAGACGCGGCCCCCGCCCGCCGCAGTCTGTGCCGCGTGGCCTGGGGCAGGGCCGCTGTCCATGAGTCCGCCCGGCCTCAGGTGCTGACCTGGCCATGCCCCCCACCCTCCAGAGCTCCCCATAGAGGAGTCGCCAAGGGGCTGGCACACGACAAGAACAGGCGAGGAGGAGGTGCGCACCTGTCGGGGAGGGTTGATGAGGTCACAGCCGGGAGCTGGGGAGGTCGGGGGCACGGAGGTCGAGGGCTCTGGGGGCGTGGGGGTGGGGCAGGCACCCTGGACGCGGTCAAGCTCACAGTGCTGGTTGCAGATGGCATAAAAACGGCAGCCGGCCCCGTCGGTCCTGTTGTAGACCACGTCCCCTGCGCAGGAGAAAACCACGAAGACGAGGCACCCGAGTGAGCCAGGAGTGGTCTGCAGAAGCACCTGCCACAGGGCGGGGCGGGGTCCTGGCGGACTGCTCTCCAGGAGGGGACAGGCTCCCCCACACACCTGGTGAGAAGAGCTGTCCAAAGGCCTGGCAGCGGCAGGGCGTGGTGGGGCCGGGTGGGCTGGGCGCGGCGCTGGGCCCGTGGGGCGTGCTGGCAGAAGGCGGCGGGGTGGACGGCGTGGGGGCGCAGCGCGTGTCGCAACACAGCAGGCGCACGTGGAAGTTGTGGCAGTAGGGCACGGGCCCCGGCTGGTCGCGGTTGCGGCACACCAGCCCGGAGTGCACGCTGCACAGCACCACCTGCCCCACCTCCTCCAGGCTCAGGCCCGGCTCCCTCTCTGAGCGGCACTGGATGTCCTGAGGCTGCTCGCAGAAGACGTGGCCGGCCTCGCGCAGGACGGAGAAGGTCTCAAAGTCCCCGCCGTCGGGCACCGGCGTGGGGTAGTCCTCGTCGAACCAGTCGGTCCAGGTGCACTGTGGCTGGCAGACCGCCGAGGTCGTGGAGGTGGGACTGGTGGACGGGATCCCAGAGCTGGGCTGTACAGGGCGGGTCACCAGAGGTGCTGTGTGGGGGACACTCTTGGTGGTCGTGGCAGAGGAGGGTAGTGGCTGGGTGGTGGTCGTGGTCCAGACGCCTGTGGTCCGCGGTGACCGATGGTCCGTGCTGGCTCTGGTGGGGGGTGTGCTGGTTTGGGGGGGGCCGGGGCAGTGGCGGTCGTCACAGCAGAGCACGCGGATTTGGTAGTTGAGGCACATCTTGAACCGGCCGCCCTGGTCGCGGTTGCGGCACACCAGGCCCACCTCCAGCCGGCACAGCACCGTCTGGCCCAGCTGCTCCAGGGGCACGTCCGGCTGCGTCTGAGCCCGGCACTCCAGGGCCACCGGCTGCTCACAGACGGCCCCGCCGGCCGCGCGGATGTTGGCGTAGGTCTCAAAGTCCCCGCCGGAGGCCCCCGGCATGGGGTAGCTCTGGTCCAGCCAGTCCGTCCAGGCGCAGCGAGGCTGACAGGCAGTGGTCGTGGCCGATGTGCTTATGGGGCTGGTGGTCAGGGTGGGTGAGGTCTCAGCCTGTGTTGGGGTGCTTGTAACCTTGGGGGCAGTGGTAGAAAGTCCCAGGGTGGAGCCCCGCACGGAGCTGGTGGTCTCAGGGATGGGCCTGAGTGGGGAGATAGGTGGTGTGTGGGTGTCAGGGACCCTCTCGGTGGTCATGGGTGTAGAGGGTCCTGTCTCAGCAGTGGGGGTGGGGACACTCTCGGTGGTCCTGAGTGTAGAGGGTCCTGTCTCAGTAGTGGGGGTGGGGACACTCTCGGTGGTCCTGAGTGTAGAGGGTCCTGTCTCAGTAGTGGGGGTGGGGACACTCTCGGTGGTCCTGAGTGTAGAGGGTCCTGTCTCAGCAGTGGGGGTGGGGACACTCTTGGTGGTCCTGGCAGAGGAGGGCAGTGGCTGGGTGGTGGTCGTGGTCCAGACGCCTGTGGTCCGCGTTGACCGATGGTCCGTGCTGGCTCTGGTGGGGGGTATGCTGGTTTCGGGGGTGCTGGGGCAGTGACGGTCGTCACAGCAGAGCACGCGGATTTGGTAGTTGAGGCACATCTTGAACCGGCCGCCCTGGTCGCGGTTGCGGCACACCAGGCCCACCTCCAGCCGGCACAGCACCGTCTGGCCCAGCTGCTCCAGGGGCACGTCCGGCTGCGTCTGAGCCCGGCACTCCAGGGCCACCGGCTGCTCACAGACGGCCCCGCCGGCCGCGCGGATGTTGGCATAGGTCTCAAAGTCCCCGCCGGAGGCCCCCGGCATGGGGTAGCTCTGGTCCAGCCAGTCCGTCCAGGCGCAGCGAGGCTGACAGGCAGTGGTCGTGGCCGATGTGCTTATGGGGCTGGTGGTCAGGGTGGGTGAGGCCTCAGCCTGTGTTGGGGTGCTCGTAACCTTGGGGGCAGTGGTAGAAAGTCCCAGGGTGGAGCCCCGCACGGAGCTGGTGGTCTCAGGGATGGGCCTGAGTGGGGAGACAGGTGGTGTGTGGGTGTCAGGGACCCTCTCGGTGGTCCTGGGTGTAGAGGGTCCTGTCTCAGCCGTGGGGGTGGGGACACTCTCGGTGGTCCTGGGTGTAGAGTGTCCTGTCTCAGCCGTGGGGGTGGGGACACTCTCGGTGGTCCTGGGTGTAGAGGGTCCTGTCTCAGCCGTGGGGGTGGGGACACTCTCTGTGGTCCTGAGTGTAGAGGGTCCTGTCTCAGCCGTGGGGGTGGGGACACTCTCGGTGGTCCTGAGTGTAGAGGGTCCTGTCTCAGCCGTGGGGGTGGGGACACTCTCGGTGGTCCTGAGTGTAGAGGGTCCTGTCTCAGCCGTGGGGGTGGGGACACTCTTGGTGGTCCTGAGTGTAGAGGGTCCTGTCTCAGCAGTGGGGGTGGGGACACTCTCGGTGGTCCTGGCAGAGGAGGACAGTGGCTGGGTGGTGGTCGTGGTCCAGACGCCTGTGGTCCGCGGTGACCGATGGTCCGTGCTGGCTCTGGTGGGGGGCGTGCTGGTTTCGGGGGTGCTGGGGCAGTGGCGGTCGTCACAGCAGAGCACACGGATTTCGTAGTTGAAGCACATCTTGAACCGGCCGTCCTGGTCGCGGTTGCGGCACACCAGGCCCTCCTGCAGCCGGCACAGCACCGTCTGGCCCAGCTGCTCCAGGGGCACGTCCGGCTGCGTCTGAGCCCGGCACTCCAGGGCCACCGGCTGCTCACAGACGGCCCCGCCGGCCGCGCGGATGTTGGCGTAGGTCTCAAAGTCCCCGCCGGAGGCCCCCGGCATGGGGTAGCTCTGGTCCAGCCAGTCCGTCCAGGCGCAGCGAGGCTGACAGGCAGTGGTCGTGGCCGATGTGCTTATGGGGCTGGTGGTCAGGGTGGGTGAGGCCTCAGCCTGTGTTGGGGTGCTCGTAACCTTGGGGGCAGTGGTAGAAAGTCCCAGGGTGGAGCCCCGCACGGAGCTGGTGGTCTCAGGGATGGGCCTGAGTGGGGAGACAGGTGGTGTGTGGGTGTCAGGGACCCTCTCGGTGGTCCTGGGTGTAGAGGGTCCTGTCTCAGCCGTGGGGGTGGGGACACTCTCGGTGGTCCTGGGTGTAGAGGGTCCTGTCTCAGCCGTGGGGGTGGGGACACTCTCGGTGGTCCTGGGTGTAGAGGGTCCTGTCTCAGCCGTGGGGGTGGGGACACTCTCTGTGGTCCTGAGTGTAGAGGGTCCTGTCTCAGCCGTGGGGGTGGGGACACTCTCGGTGGTCCTGAGTGTAGAGGGTCCTGTCTCAGCCGTGGGGGTGGGGACACTCTCGGTGGTCCTGAGTGTAGAGGGTCCTGTCTCAGCAGTGGGGGTGGGGACACTCTCGGTGGTCCTGGCAGAGGAGGACAGTGGCTGGGTGGTGGTCGTGGTCCAGACGCCTGTGGTCCGCGGTGACCGATGGTCCGTGCTGGCTCTGGTGGGGGGCGTGCTGGTTTCGGGGGTGCTGGGGCAGTGGCGGTCGTCACAGCAGAGCACGCGGATTTCGTAGTTGAAGCACATCTTGAACCGGCCGCCCTGGTCGCGGTTGCGGCACACCAGGCCCTCCTGCAGCCGGCACAGCACCGTCTGGCCCAGCTGCTCCAGGGGCACGTCCGGCTGCGTCTGAGCCCGGCACTCCAGGGCCACCGGCTGCTCACAGACGGCCCCGCCGGCCGCGCGGATGTTGGCGTAGGTCTCAAAGTCCCCGCCGGAGGCCCCCGGCATGGGGTAGCTCTGGTCCAGCCAGTCCGTCCAGGCGCAGCGAGGCTGACAGGCAGTGGTCGTGGCAGATGTGCTTATGGGGCTGGTGGTCAGGGTGGGTGAGGCCTCAGCCTGTGTTGGGGTGCTCGTAACCTTGGGGGCAGTGGTAGAAAGTCCCAGGGTGGAGCCCCGCACGGAGCTGGTGGTCTCAGGGATGGGCCTGAGTGGGGAGACAGGTGGTGTGTGGGTGTCAGGGACTCTCTCGGTGGTCTTGGCTGTAGAGGGTCCTGTCTCAGCCGTGGGGGTGGGGACACTCTCGGTGGTCCTGAGTGTAGAGGGTCCTGTCTCAGCCGTGGGGGTGGGGACACTCTCGGTGGTCCTGAGTGTAGAGGGTCCTGTCTCAGCCGTGGGGGTGGGGACACTCTCGGTGGTCCTGAGTGTAGCGGGTCCTGTCTCAGCCGTGGGGGTGGGGACACTCTCGGTGGTCCTGAGTGTAGAGGGTCCTGTCTCAACCGTGGGGGTGGGGACACTCTCGGTGGTCCTGGGTGTAGAGGGTCCTGTCTCAGCCGTGGGGGTGGGGACACTCTCGGTGGTCCTGGCAGAGGAGGGCAGTGGCTGGGTGGTGATCGTGGTCCAGACGCCTGTGGTCCATGGTGACCGATGGTCCGTGCTGGCTCTGGTGGGGGGCGTGCTGGTTTCGGGGGTGCCTGGGCAGTGGCTGTCGTCACAGCAGAGCACGCGGATTTGGTAGTTGAGGCAGGTCTGGCCCTCCTGCTGCCGGCTGTTCCTGCAGATGAGCCCATACTCCCGGGCGCACTGCACCGTCTGGCCCAGCTGCGCGAGGGGCACCCCCGGGAAGAGGACCGCCTCGCACTGGATGGCATCCGGCTCCGTGCAGAGCTGGCCACCTGCCTCCACGATGTTGTGATAGGTCTCAATGTCACCCCCAAAGCGGCCTGGCCGGGGCTGGTCACTGTCCAGCCAGTCAGTCCAGCGGCACACAGGCTGGCACCCGTATGGGGTCGTGGTGTGGGCTGTGCTGGAGGTGGTCGGGCTGGTGGCCACTGGGGAGGTTGGCTTCAGGCTAGGCCCTGGGACTGTCACCGTGCTGGTTTCGGGGGTGCCGGAGCAGTGGCGGTAGTCACAGCAGAGCACACGGATTTCGTAGTTGAAGCACATCTTGAACCGGCCGCCCTGGTCGCGGTTGCGGCACACCAGGCCCTCCTGCAGCCGGCACAGCACCGTCTGGCCCAGCTGCTCCAGGGGCACGTCCGGCTGCGTCTGAGCCCGGCACTCCAGGGCCACCGGCTGCTCACAGACGGCCCCGCTGGCCGCGCGGATGTTGGCGTAGGTCTCAAAGTCCCCGCCGGAGGCCCCCGGCATGGGGTAGCTCTGGTCCAGCCAGTCCGTCCAGGCGCAGCGAGGCTGACAGGCAGTGGTCGTGGCCGATGTGCTTATGGGGCTGGTGGTCAGGGTGGGTGAGGCCTCAGCCTGTGTTGGGGTGCTCGTAACCTTGGGGGCAGTGGTAGAAAGTCCCAGGGTGGAGCCCCGCACGGAGCTGGTGGTCTCAGGGATGGGCCTGAGTGGGGAGACAGGTGGTGTGTGGGTTTCAGGGACCCACTTGGTGGTCATGGGTGTAGAGGGTCCTGTCTCAGCAGTGGGGGTGGGGACCCTCTCGGTGGTCTTGAGTGTAGAGGGTCCTGTCTCAGCCGTGGGGGTAGGGACACTTTCGGTGGTCCTGAGTGTAGAGGGTCCTGTCTCAGCCGTGGGGGTGGGGACACTCTCGGTGGTCATGGGTGTAGAGGGTCCTGTCTCAGCCGTGGGGGTGGGGACACTCTCGGTGGTCCTGAGTGTAGAGGGTCCTGTCTCAGCCGTGGGGGTGGGGACACTCTCGGTGGTCATGGGTGTAGAGGGTCCTGTCTCAGCCGTGGGGGTGGGGACACTCTCGGTGGTCCTGAGTGTAGAGGGTCCTGTCTCAGCCGTGGAGGTGGGGATACTCTCGGTGGTCCTGGGTGTAGAGGGTCCTGTCTCAGCAGTGGGGGTGGGGACCCTCTCGGTGGTCCTGGCAGAGGAGGACAGTGGCTGGGTGGTGGTCGTGGTCCAGGTGCCTGTGGTCCGCGGTGACCGATGATCCGTGCTGGCTCTGGTGGGGGGCGTGCTGGTTTCGGGGGTGCCGGGGCAGTGGCGGTAGTCACAGCAGAGCACGCGGATTTCGTAGTTGAAGCACATCTTGAACCGGCCGCCCTGGTCGCGGTTGCGGCACACCAGGCCCTCCTCCAGCTGGCACAGCACCGTCTGGCCCAGCTGCTCCAGGGGTACGTCCGGCTGCGTCTGAGCCCGGCACTCCAGGGCCACGGGCTGCTCACAGACGGCCCCGCCGGCTGCGCGGATGTTGGCGTAGGTCTCAAAGTCCCCGCCGGAGGCCCCCGGCATGGGGTAGCTCTGGTCCAGCCAGTCTGTCCAGGCGCACTGCGGTTCGCAGACTCCGGCGTTTGGGGAAGTCGGGATGCGTGAGACAGAGCTGGGCTTCCAGGGGCGGGAGGACAAAGTGGTCCCAAAGGTGGGACTGGTGGACGGGATCCCAGGGTTGGTCTGTACAGGGGAGGACACCAGGGGTGAGGCAGAGGGACTGAGGACAGAGGTCCTCTGGGTGGTCCTGAGGGAGGTGAGAGGTGTCTTGGACGAGGTAGGTGTGCTGGGTGCAGGCAGGGTCTGGGTGGACGGCAGAGGTACCGGCATGGTGGAGGTGAGGCAGTGGCTGGTGTGGCTGCAGCACAGCACCCGGATGTTGTAGTTGAAGCACATGTTGAACGGCCCCTTCTGGTCCTGGTTCCTGCAGACCAGCCCGTCCTGCAGGCTGCAGCTGACCACCTGCCCGATCTGGTCGAGGCTCACCTCGGGGTAGCTTTCCGCCCGGCACTCGACCTTCTGCGGGGCCTGGCACAGCTTGCCACCGGCAGCCCGGATGTTGTCGTAGGTCTCCATGTCCCCGCCCGTGACGCCCGAGGAGGGGAAATCCACATCAAACCATTCTGTCCACTCGCACTTGGGTTTGCAGCCAGTGTTGCCCTGGCTGGTGGTGGCTTCCGTGGTGGCCCGTGGTGTCTCCACTGTGCGTTTGCTCTCCCCGGTGTGTGGTGTGGGCAGTGGGCTCGTGGACGTCGTGACAGGACTGCTTAGCGTTCCTGGGCGAGCTGTGGACGCCCGTATGGCCTCTGACTCCGGCCTGTGCTCCTGCGAGGTTCCCCCCGTGGTTGCCTGCAGGGCTGTGGGCTTTGTGGAGCCTGGAGGAGACGTGGGCCTCCTTGTGGCAGATGTCATGAGTGTGTCTATTTGGCTGGGGCTTGGGGATGTTGCTGGGGAGACTGGTCCCACCGTGCGGAAAGGTACTGCTGTAGTGCTGCCCGGGGGGGCCTGTGTCACCCTTGGGCTACTCCCCAGCTGGGTCCATGTCCTTGTGGCTGATGGTATCATTGTGGTGGCTGTAGTGATGGTGGTGGCAGCGGTTGTTGTGGTGGTGGTGGCAGTGGTGGCAGTGGCTGTGGGGGTGGAGATGGCAGTGGTGGTGGCGGCAGTGGCTGTGGGCGTGGCAGTGGCTGTGGGCGTGGCAGTGGCTGTTTTGGTGGTGGCAGTGGTGGCAGTGTGCTCCCCACAGTGGTCGTGGCTGCAGCATAGCAGGCGGATTCTGTAGTTGTAGCACATCTTGAACATGCCCATCTGCTCATCATTCCTGCAGACCAGCCCAAAGCTGGGGTTGCAGTGCACCCGCTGCCCCAGCTCCTCGGGTCTCTTGTCGGGGAAGTTCTCCGCCCGGCACTCGATGTCCCGAGGCTGCTCACACACAGCGCCCCCTGCACTCCTGATCTTGTCATATGACTCGATGTCACCCCCAGCCTCCTCAGACTTGGGGTAATCCTCATCGAACCACTCCGTCCACTGACATCGGGGCTGGCAGGTGGTGCCCGGGGCCTCGGAGCTGCTGGCTGTCTGGGTCTCTGTCATCTGCGAGGTGAAGGCTGGGGTTGCCTGGGTGGTGGAGGTGGGCAGGGGCCCGGGGGTTGGCTTCTGGTTGGTGTCTGGGCTGGAGTTGGTGCTGCAGGGCACGTAGTCACAGCAGAGCACCCGCAGCTCATAGTTGTGGCAGAGTGGGGGGCTCTGCTGGTTGTTCAGGCACCTGAGCCCCCACACCGGGTCGCAGTCCACATTTTGGCCCAGCTGCTCCAGGGGTGTGTCTGGAAGCAGCTGTGCCCGGCACTCGATTTGGGCTGGGGCTGGGCAGACCTGGTGACCTGCCAGCCTCAGGTTTGCAAATGTCTCGAAGTCTCCACCTCCCATGCCCGGCTCTGGACTGCTGCTGTCGTACCAGGCAGACCAGCGGCACAGCTCCCGCACACACACGGTGAAGGTGGGGACCGGACCTGTGGGGGCAGAGGACCCCTCAGCCTCCTCGGTCCTGCGCCCGGGAAGTAGGGTGATTCATGCCCCCTGCCCCAGGATTAGCCCCTGGGCCTCTGCGGGATCCCATTCCATCCCTTGCTCCCAGGACTTCTGCCCCGAGTGCCCGCTGGGTCTTCCCTCTTCTCTGGGATCAGCTTACCTGTCGTGGAGGACGGGGTCTCTGCAGAGGTGAAGGCGAAGGGCGTGGTGGACGGGGTTCCCGGACACTCCCAGGCCCTCCGCGTGATCGTGCCGTTGTCTCCGCACAGCGCCATGAAGCAGGCGCCCAGCCCGTCGGTCGTGTTGTAGATGACGTCCCCGTAGCCGTAGGTCCTGCCCTCGTAGGTGCACTTGCAAGCTGGACACGCGGCAGGTACGGCGCTCAGCGGAGCCCCAGCCCCCAGCCCCCAGCCCCCCAGCACCCCAACCAGCCAGAACCCTCCTTACCGGCGAGGCTGTGCGTGCACTGGAGGCCGCCTGGGGCGCACTCACTGCCAGGAGAGACAGCCGCTGAGGGTCTGCCGGGCCCGCCCTGCCTTCGGCCCGCCCACCCCGCCAGGCCCCGCCCCTTGGCCCTACCAGACCCCGCCCCGTGGCCCGCCCCGCCCACCAGGCCCCGCCCCTCACGCCCGCCCTCCCCGCCAGGCCCCGCCCCCACCCCCGCCAGGCCCCGCCCCTTGGCCCTACCAGACCCCGCCCCGTGGCCCTCCCCGCCCACCAGGCCCCGCCCCCAAGCCCGCCCTCCCCGCCAGGCCCCGCCCCCGCCCCTCCCCACCCATCCCGCCAGGTCCTGCCCCTCCGCCCTGCCAGACCCCGCCCCTTGGCCCTCCCCACCCACCCCGCCAGGCCCCGCCCCTTGGCCCGCCCTCCCCACCAGGCCCCGCCCCTGCCCCGCCCCACCCATCCCGCCAGGTCCTGCCCCTCCACCCTGCCAGACCCCGCCCCTTGGCCCTCCCCGCCCATCCCGCCAGGCCCCGCCCCTCGGTTCCGCCCCGCCCGCCCCGCGAGGCCCCGCCCCGCCCCCTCACCAGCTCTGGCAGTTTTCCGCTGTGGAGACCTTGGTGCCAACATCGTGGTAGTTCCCGTCGTCATCGTAGCAGCCACACTGGGCCACACACCTCATCTGATCCTCATCGAAGAACGGCTTGCTGGGCGGACACTTCGGGTAGCAGCCTGGGGTGGGCACACGGGAGAGAAGGCTCACCCTCTGGGCCAGGGGGTCCGCGCTGCCCTGTCCCGGAGGGCGGGGCGTGTTGGTGGCAGGAGCCCACGAGCCCCCTGGCACCACCCGGCCCCTGACGCCTGTGTGATGGCCCCGGGGCAGCCTGCCCCTCACCTTCCTGGCCCGGCAGCTCCATCAGACAGCGTCCGCTGGGGTTCCGGCAGGTTTTCAGGCAGGGCACCCCACAGGGCTGGTAGTGCCACTGGCACTCCTCTTGGGGGTTGTAGTAGTCACAGAACAGAGCTGAGCACGGAGGGCAAAGGCTGAGGGCGATGCCAGCCCCGTGTCCCCTGGACGCCAGGGCAGCGCCAGGCCGGCCCGGCTTGTCCCGGGAGTGGCGGGTCTCAGGGGCCCCTCCCTGGCCTTCATTCCAGTTCCATTGCTCAGCCCTGGACTTGGCACGCCTGCCGCTCCCGGGTCATCCCGTTTGGGGCGACCTGTCTGGTCTCCACGGACACGTTTGTGCACACACATGGAGTGCGTGTTGGGTGTCCCGCGTGCACTGCGGCTGCTCAGCCTGGAGCCCCAGGCAGCCTGCCTCCACCGCCACCCTGGCCCGCCCTTCAGCACCACGGACAGAGCCCGACTCACGGCAGACGTCCGGGGTGCGCCAGGACACGCAGACGCCCACGTCCAGGCAGGCTTGGGCGTAGGCGGCCACCGCGGTGCAGAAACACTCGCAGTCGCCTCCGGAGTCGCAGGCGCACGCGTCGCTCACGCAGGCCTCGTAGTACTTGGTGGAGTCGACCTGCGGGGGGGGGGGGGGCACTCAGCCAGAACCGATCCGCCCATGATCCCCCGGTTGGGGACAGCAGCACAGCTGCCATCTGAGACCCATGACTGCTGCAGCCAGGGGGGATCCACTCCTGGCCCCGGTCCCCTCTCTGACCTCACCCCACCCCTCATTTCTTGCCTCTTGATTGGCCTCTCATGCAAATGCAGACCGCCCTCCTGGAGACTGTGTGGGGACCCTGCCCTGACAAATGGGGGGGGGGCTGCTGTCTCCTTGAGGTGAGGGGGCCAGCCCCCAACCACACCCTTCCCAGGCAGCAGAGCCCAGTGGACACTGCGGTGCACAGCACCACCCAAGCAGGGGCCGCACGTCAGGCTCAGAGGACTTTCTGAGCCGAGGCAGGAGGCACAGGCCGGCCTCCCAGCACAGACCATTCCTGCCAGGTGCTGTCACCGGGCAGGTCCCCGATCAGGAAACTGTGTGGGTGAGTGGGCCCTGGAGTCTGATAACCAAGAGGGACCGTGGGCAGTCTCTGAGGCTGGTCCCCGGTCCTCTGTGCCATGTGGCCTGGCGGGGGCTGACAGGTCAGGGAATGTGGGGGGGATGAGGGCAGGGCAGATGTGGCCTGTATGACTGGCAGCCCCACTTCCGGGGAAGGAAGCTCAGTGGTCAAGGGAGGCAGAGAGGACGCTCCGAGCTGAGAATGAGTACACCTCGGGCACCTGCCCAGGGGAGGTCCAGACGGTGCTCGGTGCTTGGTGCTCGGTGATCAAAGTAAAGAAGACCGTCCTCTGAGGCCCAGCCCGGGCCAGGCTCAGCTTCCACCAGGAGGGAAGGAGGTAGCCCCACCCCCTCCAGCCCTCAACCCTGCCCCCCAAGCCCAGAGCCCCTGCCATCAGCCCACCTGAGAACGGCAGGCCTCGAAGGTGGGGCTGTTGATGAGGCTGCACTGCTTCTGGGCCCAGGACTTGCGGTAGGGGTTGGCGGTGCAGGGGTCCCTGGGGGCCGGGGCATCAGGGCAGGTGGGGGAGAATTTCCAGCTGTTGCCAAACTCCAGAGCGTCGCCCACCACGGACTGGCTCCGCGTGGTGAAGTCGTTGATGGCGTTGTCATCGAAGTTCCCGCACAGCCCGCAGACCCTGCCCTGCAGACGCAGAGACAGACACGTGGAGCTGGGGCTGCAGGGGCCAGCCTGGCCGGGGAGGGGCGAGTGCAGCGGGCCCAGTTCCCTCAGGCAGCACCCTGTGAGCTTGCAGGAGGACGGGGTGCACAATGGGTCCCGTGGTGCACAGGTAGATAGGAAGGCAGGCAGGAGGCCAGGCAGACAGGTGGACAGGCGAGCAAGTGGACAAAGCAGGCAGATAGGCAGGTGGACAGGTGAACAGGGAGGCAGGCAAGCAGGCAGGCAAGTAGACAGGCAGTCAGAGGGGCAGGTGAACAGAACAGCCCATCTGCCCTCACCTTGTAATCCTGGTGCAGCCGGATGAACACGCTGGTCTTCCGGTCCCAGGACACAACCAGGCCGCTGCGGGTCTCGATGGCCAGGTGGGTGCCCATGTACCGGACCTTGTAGGGTGTGTCTGCACCGGGCCCCCTCTGCACCACCTTGTAGGCGCCCTCATGGAGGATCAGCTCATAGTTCTGCGAGGGACACAAGGGAGCTGAGGGGCCAGGGCCCACCCTGGGGCCCAGGGCGGAGGCCCCGCGGGTGCTCCGGGGCCCACAGCACCAGGCTGGCATTAAGGATGAGCCAGGCTCCTGAAGGTCGGTGAATGCCAGGCGAGAGGTTGGGCAGGACATGCTGGGAGCTGGGAGGCTGCGGGGAGAGTCAGGGGCCTTGGGCTAGCAGAGGAGCCCAGAGCCCAGCACGGGCTGCGGGAGGCCAGGGGGTTCCTGGGGTTCCAGCGGAGGTCCTGCTGCTCCGCCCAGCACCCCACCCCACCCCGCTCACCCCCATTGCTGCTCCCTTCTGTGTGCTCCTCCCCCACCCTTCGGGGAAACCCATCCAGCCAGTAGCTCTGCTCTCTGCCCTGCCTCCCCTGGAAGTGGGTGTCCTGGGGTGGTGGGCTGAATGGAGGCCCCCGCAAGGCGTGTCCTGTCCTAACCCCCAAAACCTGGGCATGTGACCTTATCTGGGGAAAGGGTCTTTTCAGATATGATTAGGCAAAGGATCTCGCAATATATCCTGGATTTGGGGTGGGCCTAAGCCCAATGAGGAGCGCCCCTGGAAGAGGAGTGGGGTACACAGAAGAAGCCACGGCAGGACCCGCCCCGAGAGCCTCCGAGAGACAGCCCTGCCACAGCTGGGTGTCGGAGTCCGGGCCCCAGCACGGGGGAGAAGGAATGTCCCCGGTTTTAGGTGGCTGTGGCTGGGGGGCCAGGAGTCCCAGGGCTGGGGACCCCGACAGGCCGAGCCCGTCAGCGGCAGAAGGAGAAGGTTCCTGGCCACCGCCTCACCTCCAGGAAGATCTTGATGGCCTTGGAGCAGGTGACACCGGTGGTCCCACAGGGGACGTTCTCAGTGACAATGCGGAAGGTCCCGCTGCTGGAGCTGTTGCCTCCACAGTGGTCCTGGGACGGCAGACGGGTCAGCAGGCGGGTCAGGCCCTGAGCCTGGCCGCCCGCGGGGCTGAGCAAGGGCGCCACCTACCTGGGCCAGTGTGTACTCGCAGCTGCCCTCAAAGCTGTACCGCCTGCCGTCGAAGGTGATGAAGTGGCCGTCCCCGTAGGCCACACAGGTGCCCAGGCAGGGCCGCTGGCTGCACTGCCACTTGTGGTCCTGGCAGGTGCTGCAGGGAGCAGGGGTGACATCCTGCTCACGGGCCCCGTGGAGACAAGGGCAGGGGCACGCTGCTGCCCGTCACGAGGGGCCAAAGGAAGCAGAGTCCACAGCTCTGGCAGGACAGGGCAGGCCGGGCCCAGGGCACCGCCCAGAGGACGGATGGGACCCACGGGGCCTTTCAAGGGGACGAGCAGCGCCGGGCCTCTCTGCCTCCTGCCCAGGACCCCGGGGCCAGGGCCCACTCGGGCCTCTGTCCCTGTGGCCGCTCAGCTGCACTCTGCCCGCCCCCGCAGCCCGCCTCTGACGCACCAGTCGTTACAGTCGACCCTGATGGTGTCCCCAGGCCTGTAGGCTACGTCGTTGTGCAGGCAGGGGCAGTCCTCCTCGGCCACGCAGCCCCCGCTCCCATTGGACACCAGCCCCGGGGGGGCAGACACAGCCAGACAAGCAGTGAACGCTGAACTGCGGACAGGGGAGCCCATCAGCAGCCCGCCCCTGCTGCGGCCCAGGGGAGGGGGTGCTGCCCGTGGTGGGCGGTCCGGGCCAGGGGCACCCTCGGGCAGCAGTGTGGCGGTGCCCTCCCGGCGGGCTGACTCACACACTCCACGCCCAGCGTGTGGCAGCTTCGGAGGCACTCGACCCCGGGCGTGCCCGCCGCGGCGTTGCTGCAGTTCAGGTACACCATCGGGGCCACGCAGCCTGTGGAAGGGGAGCGCTCTGGGGGCCGGCCGCGCAGCAGGGACCCCACTCCAGGCCCGCAGAAGCCCCTCCCACTTCCACCGGAGCTGGTGCCCACGGCCGGCGGCCGGCAGGAGGGGGACGGTACCTGAGCTGGTCTGCTTTGCGGCACCCAGGCAGCTCAGCTTCCCACTCGCACACGAGCTACGAGAGACAGACCCTGATCTGCGCCGCCGCCCACTGCCCCCCAGACGCCCCGATCTCGGCTGGGAGGGCGGCGGGTCCCCAGGCTGGCCCCAGAGGGAGCGCCACCCACCCAACACCTCCTGGGCCCGGGGTGGGGGGACCCCTCCCTTACCACACCACATCGTTGTCATGTACCACCTCCCCGGGGGCCACCACAGAGCCCCGGAAGTAGCAGGGACAGGCCTCGGCGGGCACACAGTTGCCCGTGTCGTCCAGGAAGGTGCCGCGGGGGCAGGTGCAGCCGTCCACGGGCACGAAGGTGACTCCACAGGTGACGTCCTCCTGGCTCAGGGCTCGGCAGGTGGGCTGGCAGCCGTCCACCACGTACGCGTAGCTCTGGGACTTGGGGCACAGGCTCTTGTACTTGGCTGGGGCAGAGTCGGAGACGACACTCGGTCAGTGGCTGGGCTGGGGTTTACGCGGCCGGGGACTCAGTTTCCCCTCTGGAAGCGGGGACAGTAACGACACTCCCGGGGGCGGAGGTGCCAGGTTCCCCCTGGGGACACTAGGCGGGGGCCCCCAGCACTGCCCGGCCTGGAGGAGCCGCAGCTCCCACACTCACTGCAGACGCCGGCCCTCCAGCCGCTGAGCAGCACGCCCCGGGCGGCGCAGGCGCGGACGTAGGAGGACAGGGCGGCGCACAGGCAGTCCTCGCTCTTCTCACAGTTGCACGTGTCGAACAGGCAGTTCTGGGGGCGCATCGGGCGTCAGGGACTCCGGCCCACCAGAGCCCCTCCTCTCTCCTCCAGCCTCCTGGGACACCCCTGCCCAGCCTGGGGCTTCGCCCCCAAGGAGGGCCCACAGCACAGGCCAAGGAGCCCGGCCACCAGGAGAGACAGCTGCGCACTCGGGGGGCGGGAAGGGGGGGGGCACAGGCTGGGCAGACCCGACAGGACGGCGTGAAGAGGGCTGAGTGGGGTCTGAGGAGGGGTCTGTGTGGGACCAGGACAGGGCCCAGCGAGAACTCTCCGCAAACATGGCCTCAGACAGCCTGGGGGGGCATGGACAGGGCAGGGTGGAGGTCCTCCGCTCCCCACGGGGCAGAGGTGCGCCTGTCTTCCGGTGCAGAAGACCCCCAGGGGTGCCGTCATGCACTCTGGGGCTTCGAGCTTCCAGAAATGAGGAGCCAACGACTGCGGGCTGAATTGTGTCCCCCAAACGGTAAACCCCGGGGCCTGCAGAGGTGAGCTGACTGCAAACGGGGGCTGGCTCTGCAGTGCGACTCAGCAAAGATGACGTCCTTGGGGGTCCCGACCCAGCCGACTGTGCGACGGACACGGCACAGCAGCCCCGTGACGATGGAGGGAGGCCAAGACGGCCGATGGAACAGCCAGCCCAGGAAGGCCTGGAGCCCCGGGCACTGGGAGGGGCAGGACGGAGCCTCCCCTGCAGCCTTCCAGGGGAGCTCGGCCCTTGACAGAGGGCAGCCGGAAAGGGGCGCAGAGGATAGCTCCGGGGAGCAGGTCGGGGTGACACCCGGAGGCCTGGGGTCCCCGCTGGCCAGGGGTCTCACCAAGTAGAAGGGGGCAGGGTTGACGAGGGAGTGGCAGGGCGAGAAGCTGCCGGCAGGGTCGGTCAGCAGGGCGCACCAGTGCTGGGCATAGTTCTCTGGGAGAAGGGACACGGGGCTGTCACCAGGCGCAGCTCCCCAACTCCTCCCCGCCGCACCCCGCCTCTGCTACGCACATAGGCCCTGCCTCGTGGATGCTGCTTACAGGCAGACAGTCTTCCTGACGGGGTCCCAGCACCCACCCTGTCACCCCGGACCCTGATGCCTGCACACACACCTAGATGCTGGGAGTCTCCCCACCCCCCGCCCCAGTTGGGGGAGGGTTCCTGTGCACGGGGGCAGTAGCCGAAGCCCGGGGTGGGGGGGGTACCGTTCTCCACGCTGAGGGAGCAGGGGTCCTCGAAGCTGTTCTTGACGTTGGGACAGGTGGCCTGGGTCTTCCAGGTGTTGGCGAAGGCGGCGGCCGTGCCCTCCACCACACCGCTGAGGGTCCGGAAGTCGTCGGCCTGGTTCTGGTTGAAGTTCCCGCAGAGACCTGGGCCGGGAGGGGCATCAGCCCAGCCCCCGCTCCCCGGCCCCATGGGTTCTCACACGGCGACGGTCCCAGAGCCATCTGCAGACGCGCTCCAGCAGGGGGAGCACCTGCGTCGCCCCCTCAGTAAAGGCAGCCTGGCTCCCTCTCCATCCGCCAGCCCCCACTCCCTGCTGCCGGTCTGACTGGTCAGTTATCGGGTGCCTGGGGAGCCGCTGCCTCCCAGCCCCGTCTCCTCAGCTGTCTGCCGTCCCCAGCTTGCACCAGGGACCCGAGTCCTGCTCCACCCCCACTGCCCACCCCTCCGAGCTCAGGCCCAGCCTCACCGCACATCTGGCCTCGGTAGGCAGGGTCCAGCCTCAGGATCACCTGCATAAGGGGCACCAGCTGCACCTCCAGCTGCAGCCCAAAGCCCGTCTGCACCAGGATGAAGAAGGTCGAAGGCCTAAACATGGTGATGTTGGCTGTGGGGGGTGGGGGCACAGTCAGAGGCTACACGGTTAGGCTCCGGCCACGCGGACCACCAGTCCCTGAGCCTCTGTGCTCCCGGGGTGGCCCAGGAGGCAGAGACAGGTGTCTGGTGGTCTAGGAGCTGGGCAGGGGCTCACGGCCACCTTAGACGCCAGGGTCCCCGCAGCAGCCCCCGGTGGGATCTTGTTGCTACTGCAGGTGACAACCAACCCGGGGGTGCTCTGAAGCTGCCCGAGGCCTGCGCAGGTACCTGCTGACACAGGCAGCTGGGTGTAGATGGAGTTCATGAACACCCCGCCGTTGGCCTCGATCCAGATGGTCTAGGAGGGGAGGTGGGCTCGGTCAGTGGGGGACAGCCCTGGAGGGTGCCAGCCACTGGGGTCTCGGGTTTCAGGGAGGGACTTGGAGCCCGCCTCTTCCCCATATCTGTCCTCCTCGCCCTGGTGGGCAATGGACCCTCACCGTGTCGCCGCCGGCCACGCTCAGTGTCACTGTCTTGAGGCAGTTCTCGTCGTCGGTCAGGCCGCATCTCCGCAGCTCAGCCAGCACAGTGAAGCTGTGATCTGCGCATTTCTAAGGGCCAAGCGGAGAGGGGGCTGAGTGTGCACACGCATGTGTGTGGACATGCATGTGTGCGAGTGTGCATGTGTGCATGTGTGTGTGTGCATGTCTCTGTGTGTATCTCTGTGTGCACGTATGTGAGCGCATGTGTCTCTGTGTGCATGTGTATCTCTGTGTGTGCACGTGTGTGAATGCATGTATCTGTGTTCATGTGTGTATTAGTGTGTGTTCATGTGTATCTCTGTGTACATGTGTACCTCTGTGTGTGCACGTGTGTGAGTGCATGTGTCTGTGTGCACATGTATCTCTGTGTGTGTATCTCTGTGTGTGCACATGTGTGAGTGCATGTGTTTGAGTGCACATGTATCTCTGTGTGTGCATGTGTATCAGCATGTGTGCATGTGTATCTCTGTGTGTGCACATGTGTGCATGCATGTGTTTGAGTGCACGTGTGTATCTCTGTGTGCACGTGTGTGAGTGCATGTGTATGCGTGTGCATGTGTATCTGTGTGTATGTGCACATGTGTGTGTGGTGCCCCTGTGCCCAGGATGGAGGTGGACAGTGGTTCTCAGTGGCCTCTGGCAACTGCAGTCACCTCCAGGTAACTTGTCTCAGGGCCTGGGAGCCCCTCGGCCCCATGAGTGTGAGTCTGGGGACTTCCTCTGGGGCTTCACCCACTCTGACAGCCACCACAGACCCTCCCAGGGCAGAGAAGGCTGAGGCCAGCACCCAGGCGCACCTTGGACAGGACGTAGCTGCAGTCCCCGTGCATGTTGTAGAGTTTCTCGTCATAGGTGGAGATGTGGGCCCCGCCCTGGACGGAGCAGGTGCCCGGGCACGGGAGGTCCTGGCACTGCCACAGTCCCCCGGAACAGGTGCTGGAGGCGGCCACAAGCACAGCGGTTGGGGGGGACGGAGGGGGACCCACCAACCCACGCACCCAGTGGGCAGAACCGGGGAGGGCCTACCAGGAGCTGCAGCTGGTGGTGAAGGAGGCCCCCGGGGCGTAGGTGCGGCCGCTGTGGGTGCAGGGGCAGCGCTCCAGGGGCAGGCAGCCCGTGTGGGTGACATCATCCAGCACCGTGCCTGAGGGTGGGTGGACGGTCAGCGGAGGCTCTGGTCGGCGCTGGGAGCCCAGTGACCGGAGGCAGAGGGCATGGGGCAGAGGGTGTGGTGGGGGCGCCCCGAGGGACAGGGGGACCTGCCTGGAGGGCAGAAGCAGCCGTCCGTGCAGTGGTCCTCGCAGAGCTGTGAGCTGCCCGGGTTGGAGCAAGTGTCCGCGCAGGGCGAGCCGCACTCCTGGTGCTGCATGTTCAGGGGGCAGGTCCGGGCTGCGGGGAGGGGACAGCGCTTGGCCCCCAGGAAGCCCCAGGCGGCAGAATGGGCAAGGAAACCACCTCCACCCCCACTTCCATGTGCCCGCAAGGATCCCCAAAAGCCACAGCTGGACCCAGGAGCCCCGGGTCTCAGAGCCTTGGCCCAGCCCCCGCCAACCCCTGGTTCTGGTGAGCGTGGCCCACTGTGCCCGGGCTGGGTCCTCCCTCTGGGTCCCCTAGGCCTGGCATCTTTTCCTGCCCATCCCTTCTCTGTGGGCCCCACCTGCCCGATGTCCCCAGAAGCCGGGGCACCCCCGGGGGTCTCCTCCATCACCCCCTCCCCAGAAACTCAGCCTGGGTGCAGCCCTGGGCACTCACGGCAGAGGCCAGGGCCCCTCCAGTCCTGCGGCTGGCCCCCTGCGTGGGCACACTGGCGGGAGTACTCAGCGAAGGTGGCGCACGGGCAGCTGGGGCAGCGGCACAGGTCCTGGGCGCAGGCGGCCACGTAGGCGGCGGTGTCCACCAGGTGGCTGCACTGAGCGAAGGCCGGGCCCAGCAGGGTGCGGCGGCAGATGCCCTCCTGGGGAGCAGAGAGCTCGGCGCTCTGCCTCTGCCCAGGGTTGCGGGGACCCTGCCCTGCCTCCTGAACCCTGCCAGGGAACCCTCTTTTCCCTTGTGGTTCCTTCCATCCAGCCAGCCCTCTGTCTGTCCATCCTCCCCTCCTCCGGCGTCCTTCTCAGCCTCTGAACTTGCCCCCGCCCCCCGGGGCAGAGCTCTGCTTGGCTCTGGGAGTGACACACCCTGTCCATGCCCCCCCGCCCCCCCGGGCTCCGGGACACGGGGGCACCTGGGAAATGCAGACCCCTGGAGGCAGCTCAACACCAGAGGGGGCAGCCCGCAGGCCAGCGAGCTGGGGGTGAGCCACACTTCCTGATTTAAGGATTGGGGTTTCTGCTGGTTTCGGGGGTCCTGGAGCTTCTAGGCCACTTCCAGAGGCGGGGTCCTCCCAGGTCTCAGAGGGGCTCCCTGAGTACCCACTCCTAACAGGACTGTGTGGAGGGTGGGTGTATTCACACACGCAGGTGGGCACACACACGTATACGGGGTCACACACACGCAGGTATGTGCAGTGGAGGGAAGAGTGTGGGTGCAGAGGGTGCACCTCAAAAGTGGAGGCCAAGTCCTCAGCTGCCCTGGGTCCGGGAGACCCTCTCACCTCGACGCCCAGGGTCCCAACCCCAGGAAGCCTGAGCTCATTCTCTCTGCCCCACGCCCTGGGACCAGGGGCTCACCCCATCTGTGCAGTTGTCGGCTGTGGAGGGCTGGGGGTCCTGGCACTGCTCAGTGGGCCCGTCCAGCTTCTGCAGGTTCCCGAACTGTAGAGGGGTCAGCCTGACGTCTGGGGAGAACAGACGCTCCATGTGGGGACCAAGGAGGAGCTCTGGGGGCCGTGGAGGGGGGCTGGCCATGCCCAGGACTGCCACCCTTTGCAGTGTCCAGGTGAGTGCCCACAGCTCCAGCCCCCTGGGACTGTCTGGCCCTGACCCGGGTACCTGCGCACACTGACCACGCCCTGACCCGGCTACCTGCACACGCTGACCCGGCTACCTGCACGCCGACCCGGCTACCTGCACGCCCTGACCGGCTACCTGCACGCCCTGACCGGCTACCTGTGCACGCTGACCCGGGCGGCACTCACTGTGGGCATAGAACTCGTTGACAGCTGGGAGCCCATTGAAGTCCCCGCAGAGGCCACATGTCTGGTTGGCATACTTGGGGTTCAGCTCCAGCTGCGGGCAGGGAGGGGCAGCTCCAGCCTCTGTAGGTCTGGTGGGGCCCCCGCAGGCCCCCAGCCCACCAGCGGGGATGCCCACAGCCGGGGGAGGCCAGGGGCAGGCCTCTCACCAGGGCGCTGTCCTCTCCATTCCACATGAAGGTCAGCACCAGTCGGACGGTGACCTTGACGTAGTGGCTGCTCTGCTCCACCAGGAGGCTGGCCCGGCTGTACGGCAGCTTCTCCCTAGGGCGGGAAGTTCTGGTCCTCCCCTGGCCCTGCGTCTGGGCAGGCCCAGTGCCCTCCCGTGGCTCAGACCCGGGCCCACCGAGTCTTGACCGCTCCCGCCGCAGCAGGCTCACCGCTGCCCGTCGATGAGGACGGAGCCGTTGGAGATCTCCAGCACCAGCCCCTGGGTTTTCAGGACCACGTGGGTGATGGTGGGCCTGAAGCCGGCCAGGCCGCGGCGCAGCTGGACGTTGAAGTCCTCGTAGGCGGCCCCGCAGTGCGCGGAGAAGACGTAGTTGCAGAGGCCGGGGAAGCGGAAGATGTCGCCGTCGAAGGTCTTGTAGTGGAAGTCCCCCCACGTGCTGCAGACCCGCCCGTTGTGCGCCAGGTTCGAGGCTGCGGGGAGAGCTTGGTGGGGCCTCCGTGGGCCGAGGCACGGGGTGTGGGGGTGGGGAGCCAAGAGGGCAGCCACCCTCCAGCTACTGCACCTGCCTCCTCCCCACAGAGCCCCGGATTCTCCTGGGCCCCGCCGGTACCCGGAACAGCCCTGGCGAGCTGCCTGCAGGAAGGCTCCCAGCTGCCCCTCCCATCCCAGCTTTAGCCCAGATCTGTGACCACCCAGGGCGGGCAAACACCTCCGCCCCCGTCAGCAGGGGTGGCGTCTACTCACGGCTCATGGTGGGGAGGACGGCGATGGGGGGGACGAAGATCATGTGCCGGGCTGCAGAGTGAGGGCCGGTCACACAGGGAGCGTGGCCAGGCAGTCGTACCCCTTCCCGGGACCCCCACCCTGACCCACCTCAGGGAGCCCAGAACTAATGGTTGTTCCCTCAGGGACCCTCCCTGTCTGCCTGAGACATGCTCCTACCTTGGGCTTTCCTGTGTGTGCATTGCCCTGAATGTGTGTATACACATGTGTAAGTGTGAATGTGTGGGCATGTGTGAGTGTGCACATGTGTGTGCACACTGTGCGTGTGCGTGTATGCATGTGAGTGTGTGCCTATGTGAGTGAGAGTCCATGTGTGTGCATGCTGTGTGTGAGTACACATGAGAGTGTGTGCATGTGTGAGTGTGCATGTGAGTGTGGACATGTGTGTGCACACTGTGTATGTGTGCGTGTGTGTGGACATGTGTGTATGCATGTGTGTGCCTATGTGAGGGAGAGTCCATGTGTGTGCATGCTGTGTGTGAGTACACATGAGAGTGTGTGCATGTGTGAGTGTGCATGTGAGTGTGGACATGTGTGTGCACAGTGCATGTGTGTGTGTGTGGACATGTGTGTATGCATGTGAGTGTGTGCCTATGTGAGTGAGAGTCCATGTGTGTGCATGCTGTGTGTGAGTACATGTGAGTGTGTGCATGTGTGAGTGTGCATGTGTGTGTGGACATGTGTGTGCACAGTGCATGTGTGTGTGTGTGGACATGTGTGTATGCATGTGAGGTGTGCCTATGTGAGGGAGAGTCCATGTGTGTGCATGCTGTGTGTGAGTACATGTGAGTGTGTGCATGTGTGAGTGTGCATGTGTGTGTGGACATGTGTGTACACAGTGCGTGTGTGTGTGTGAGCATTTGAGCATCTGCTCTGCATCTTCGTTTTCTTCTCATTCAGAGCCCTCCACTCTCTCCTCCCCTGGGCAGATGGGATCTGGGAAGAGTTTCTGTGGGTCCCGTAGCTGAGGTGGAAAGGGGTCTGTCCCCACCCCACCTGACCTCTACCACCTGCTAGGGCCCCGTACCAGTGTCCATCCTCCGACTGTCCTCGGCAGCCTCTGCCGCTCCCCCGCTAGGTTCCACGCTGCCCTGAGCCTCTGCGGGAAAGGGGAGGGAGTCAGCGAGAAGCTGGACACGTCACCACCACACCCTCGGCTGCCTGTCTGGGCCCCCTGGGGCGGGTGTCGAGGCTGCAGGGTGGCGGCCGCATGAGCAGGCTCCGGCCTCCCCGTCCTCGGTGGGACGCAGGCAGGGCCTCCGCTGGGTGGAAGTCCTGCCCGGGGCTGCACCTCTGGGCGGGCTATGGAATCAGGAAAAAGCCTTGGCCCCACGACCTCAGTCACCTCAGGGAGAGGACTCGGCCCCTCCCACGCCCCTCGGAGAAGGACAAAGGCGGGCTTTGTTGGGGAGAAGGACACGCAGTTGGGGAGGCTTCGGAGTGTGACTTAGCAGAAACCCGAGACCAGAGCAGTCCCGGGCGAGAGCCACTGAGCATGGCAGGCAGGTGGGAGCCTGGGGCCCTGAAGCTGGGCCACCTGTGCCCACTGCCCCCAGCCGGGCCTCCCTGCCAGCCTGGCCAGGGCCCCATGACCACTCACCGCCTTGGTGCACAGGACTGAGACCCAGGCCCCTCTCCACGGGGCTCAGGGGGGAGCACCCCTTCATGCGGCCCAGGATTCCTTCCTCGTGTCTGCCAGGGGTCCCACCCTGGGCCCCAGCCTGCTTGAGGTGGGCCCCACAGTGCCCGGGGGGGCTGGAGCTCAGCCAGAGGCACTGTGGCCACCATCATGGCGAGAATGCCTCCTGGTGGACTTTCCCAGCCAGACCACTGACCTGGAAACTGGGGGCTGGCCCTCCACACATCTGTCCTCCCCAGGGCCCTGGTTCTGCCCCCAGCCCCCGACCTCAGCCCCTCCCGCCTGTCCCTCACCCGGTCCCATGGAGAGAGACCAGGACGCTCAGCACCCCTCCAGGTCACACAGCACCCCTCCAGGTCATACAGCACCCCTCCAGGATGCTCAGCACCCCCTCCAGGTCACACAGCACCCCTCCAGGACGCTCAGCACCCCTCCAGGTCACACAGCACCCCTCCAGGACGCTCAGCACCCCCTCCAGGACGCTCAGCACCCCCTCCAGGATGCTCAGCGCCCCCTCCAGGTCACACAGCACCCCTCCAGGTCACACAGCGCCCCTCCTGCGGGCCCCTGACCTGTTTCCAGGCAAATGAGCTCATGCAGGGCCCGCCTTTAGCTGGGGGACCAGGCATGAACCTGGTCTGCATCGCTCACCTGAGAAATGCCCACCACCAACCCCACCCTGAGGCGATCTGGGTGCACAGCCCCCTGCGTGAAGGCCCTCCACTCAGGGCCCACCCTCCCCCACCCCTAATGGGGGCTTCAGCCCAGGGGCACCCACCCACCCCCCGAGGCTTTGCCCCCAAGAAGGGGGAAGTTGGAGGATGAGGTGGGGCTGCAGGCTCCCTCGGGTGTCCTGAGATCTGAGGTCCACGGGGCAGTGTGGGCCCAGAGGAGCCCCAAGGAGCCCACCTGGCTTTGCAAACCTGCACCCCAAGCTGAGCAGCAGGCCGGCCGTGTCCCGGGACCCTCCCAGGAGCTCCTGTGGGAAAGGCCCCCCCACCTCCAGCCCGGCTCACCCCAAGAAAGGGGACTCGGGCTGGGCTTGGGGAGGGGGCCGCTCCCCTTCTCCACCTCACTTTCACTGGGCCGCGCCCACCTCCCCAGACCCCGAGGTCCAGGAGGGGCCCTGTGGGAACAGAGTGCGGGTGGGGGGTTGGGGGACGGGTGTCACCCAGACAGCCCGAGGCTACGTCTTTTTTGTTGACAATGTTAGGGTTCGCGGTGCTCCTGGGATGCCGAGGCCCAGGGTCACAGGGTGGGGGAGACAGGCTGGGAGGGCAGCTGAGCAAAGCCCGTGTGCGACGGGGCAGGGTTCAGACGTGGCCCCGCTGCTGGGTCACCGCTGCCCCTCTGCAGCCTGTTCCGGGAGGTGCTCCAAAGCCTCCGTGGGGACCGCACTGCTGATGGCACCCCAGGCTGGCTGGAGGGTGGGGTGAAGGCGCACTCCCGTCTGGGCAGGACCCGTGCTGGTGGCTGTCCCTGCCCACGTCATGGGGGTCTCATGGGGACCGGAGAGACCCTTGCCTTGGCCCCTCACCAGTGCCCACTCCTTCAGTCCTGGAGGCCGAGACCCCTTGGCCGTTTCCCCAGGGGACCCAGATCTGAACACACGGGGCGGGGTCCTGCCTGTCCACTCTCGCAGGAGAAGCCCCGGCGAGTGGCCGCGGAGGCCATGCGTGACGAAGGGTGAGCCTCCGCCTTACCTGCCTTCTGCACCCAGAGCAGGGCCAGGAGGGCCCACGCCAGCGCCCAGCACACGCTTGGGTCCCCCATCCTGGGGATCGGCGGGCGGGCGGTGAAGAGGGAGCGGGCAAGGTGCTGGCTCCCCGGGGGCCCCGGGGCTTTTGTAGCAGGGAGCCCTGGCCCCGCGCCCAGCTCCCGGGCCACAGGGGCCCTGTCCGCTCCCCCCCGCCGGCCACGTGTGTTTGCTCTTGGGGAGGGGCCGAAGCAGGAAGGTGGTGTGGAGGAGGAAGGATTTTTGGCTCTGGGGCCCGGAGACACAGGACCCGCGCCCCCAGCAGCTCCTGAGAATCAGCAGGGAGAGAGGCCCCCGGCCCACCAACCCAGGAGGGCGCTGCTGGTCCCTCCGAGGGCAAAGCCCCTGTCGGCAGGCCCACCTCAGGGGGTCCTGGCTCGCTGGAGCCCCCACCTCCCCCAGTAGGGACGCCGTCGGCACAGGGCCCCCACTCTGCTCCACGTCGAGCACCCCTGCTCCCCGGGAGCCTGAGAGGTGGGCCCGAGCGGGAAGTCAGCTCACCGCCTGTCCCAGGAGGCGAGGCCCTGAGGTCACTGTTCGCTTGGCCTGGCAAGCGGCCCTGGTTCTCCTGCTCAGCTGGGGTGTGGTTGGTCAGGTGGAGAAGCTGGGGTGCCTGGTCTGCGTAGCTAATGGGGGTCCCAGGACGGGGCTCTGTGCCTCAGACCCCAGCAGTGCCTCTTGCAAGTGTCTGGGCTCCTCTGTGCCACCAAGTACGTTGCAGTTCAGGGACAAACAAGGCCTTGCGGGTGGACAGCCGGTTCAGCCAGCACCTGTCCAACGCCCCTGGTCAAGCAGGGCCCAGCCTGGGGGCCTGGGTGGCCCCACCTCACCCCCAAGGCTGGCTTGTTAACCTGGGGGTCCTGGACACCCCTGGGGTCCTCGGCCCGCAGCAGCCATGCAAGGACCACGTGTCCATAGTGATGTGACCCTGGAGGCCCCCAGCAGGGCTGACGGAGTCACCCCAGGGAGAACTGGGGGCTTCTCCACCAGTACCTGCCTAAAGTCGTAGCCAAACAGCCCAGCTCCCCGGCTGGTGGGTCCTGTTTCGGGGTCACATGGTAACCAACACCCCAGCCTTCTTACTCTCTGGCTCCTAGTGTCTTCACCCCAAACCTGACAACATCCTCATCCCTGGGGAAGGACTGACTGGGAAGCACAGGGCCCCTTCCTGTGATCAGCCCCTAGGGCTGGCGGTGGGCAGTTTCCAGGTGGGTTTGTGGGGTGCACAGAAGGGGCACCTGGTACACCCCCACCACCAGCCTGGTGCCTGTCTCATCGAGGCTGAATGTGCGGCCACGGAATTGCTGGCCTGCGGGGTCCGTGGCCCTGCAGACCTGGGCCTGGACTGGGGCAGGGGGTCCTCGGATCTCTGACGCATGAGCTGGGTCGTGGCTCCCACGCACCCAGGGACCCCAGGGACCCCAGGAACAGTGCTTGTGCCCCATCACTGCTGTTGTTTCCAAGGTTGAAGGTTCGGAGCTGGGTCTTCAGGGTCTCCAAAGCTCTCATGTCCAGCCCAGTCGTCCTCACTGCAGACGGGCGCAGCTGGAGGGGCCGCAGAGGGGGGCACGGGGGGCCCCTCCCAGGACAAGCCTAGAAGCGGGACTGGAGCCCCTGCTCTGCCCCCCTGTGCTCCAGCTGAGCCGTGCGACCCTGTCCACCTCGCCATCCTGCCCTGCCTCTGGGCGAGCAGCCGGCGCTCCGCGATGCACTGGCCCCGGTCCCTGGAGAGGCGGCAGGAGCTGGCACAGGAGCCCAGCTGGCCGCCCACGAGCGCCATCCCGGCAGACGAGCGGGCCTCAGGGTCGCAGCTATTGAGACATCCCGGATGCGACCAGGCCCAGCCTGTTTGCTCAGACAGTTTACCCCTTCACAGTTGAGGAAGCCGAGAACAGAGGCTGGTGCCTGGCTGCCGGGAAGGAGGGCCCGGGCCAGCGGCCGCCTGCGCTGGGAGCAGAGCGGCCAGGGACGAGCCAGGGACGTGCCAGGAACCACCCGCCTCGGGCACGCCCTGTCCCTCCTTCAGTCCAGGGGCGGCGGGGACCGAGACCTCACTGGGCCACACAGAGCCCAGAGGTGACCCCGGCCATGAATAAAGACCCCGACCAGCCCAGAGGCAGCCTTCCCTAGCCCGGCCTCGCCCTGGGGAACAGGGCCTGTCTGCTCACCCCGCCTGCACCCCGCACCCCGCACCCTGCCGTGGAGCACAGACTCCAGGACAAGGGGCCGGGGAGCATCAAGCCTCAGGTATTTCCTGAGTGCTGGCCGTTTGCCCAGAGCCCGTGGGCACCCTGGAGGGGCCAGGGGGCCTGCGCACAGCCCTGGAGCCCCAGGTGTGTTTGGCGTAAGTCTGTGTGCTCTGGGGATGGGCATTACACCCGCGTGCTTCCTGCCCCCCAGAGAGCTGCGTGGACATGGCTGGCAGTGGGGGTCCCAGCAGCCCTAGCCTCTGCCCCGAGGGGCTCACACTCCCAGTGAGCTGAGGGGCCCAGTGGTGTGACCAGTGGGCTTTGAGCCAAACAAGTCCAAGGCCGGGTGGTCCAGGCATGGGGGGCTGGTCCAGGCAGTGGGGGTGGGGGGTCCAGGCAGGAGGGGGGTCCAGGTGAGAAGGCACCTCAGGCCCTGGGATGGCCAACCCTGTCCCTGCCCCAAACACACTCAGGACACTTCCAGCGAGACTCGGGGGACCAGCCTGGTCCAGAAGGAACCGATGGAGAATGTTGGGCCATCGTGGCCCAGTCCCCCAGCTGGTCCATCAACAAACAGTACCGAGCCCCTCCTCCGGCGCTGGGTTGTGGGGTGCAGAGGAGGCTGACAGCCCTGTTCTGGGTGAAGCTGGGGGGGGGCAGCTCACGCTCCATCAGGGTGTCCTGGCCCCAGAGCTGCTCCGCTGTGGAAGGGCCAGGCCCACCCCCTAACCCACCAGGGCTGCAAGGATGCGGGGACCTTCTCCCCAGACGCCGCTGCCCCACTGCCGCCGTCGTCTGTTTTCCTGGTCTTCATGGAGGTCCCTTCCCCGGCCGGGTGTCCTTTCCTCCTCCCTCCCTCCCCCTTCTTCCTTCTTTCCAGCCAGTTGTGCTGAGCCCTGGGCGGTGCTGCCCTGAGCACTGGGGGCTCCACTGGACAAGGACAGAGAGGGCGGGGCGTGTGGGGCGAGGTGGCAGCCGAGCCGAGGGAAGGGGAGGAGGCAGCGCCTGCAAATTAGGGGGCCAGCTGCACCAGAGGGGACAGCGGGTGCAAAGACCCTGGGGCAGGGACGACTGTGGCCCGCTGGAGGGTCCCAAGGCACCTGGTGGGCCTGGGACTGGGCCGTGGGAAGGAGGCGGGGCCCGCGGCGGGGTGGGCTGGGCCAGATGAAAGCCGGAGCTTGGATTTGGTCTGAATCTGGGGGCTCCTGGGGCGCTCAAAGGAGGAAAACCATAGGGGATGATCTTTTGTAGTAAAATGAACATAACGAAATTCACCATTTTTAAGTGTCATTAAGTACATTCGTGGTGTACAAACTTCACCACCATCCATCTCTCGAACAGTTTTATCATCTCAGACAGAGAATTCACCAGACACTAACCCCCCCCCCCCACTTTCTGCCTGTGGATCTGACTGTTCCAGGGACCTTGTGGAGGTGGGGTCACACAGTCTGTCCCTCAGCAGTGTCCTCCAGGTCCGTCCATGCAGCAGCGTCAGGATGTCCTTCCCCTTTAAGGCTGAGAGACTCCACTGTGTGCACGGACCACGCTCTGTGTATCTGTCCTCTGTCCATGGACACTCAGGCTGCCCCCCGCTGTGGCCTGTTGTCATGTGCTGCAGGGTCATGCGCGTATCTGTCTGACTCCCTGCGCCACCTCACACCACAGCTCCGTTTAACTTTCTTTTTAATCCTCACCTGGGCATATTTTTACATTTTATCTTCAGACAGAAGGAAGGGAGAGGGAGAGAGAGAGAGAAACATCGATGAGAGAGAACATCGACTGGCCGCCTCCTGCACGCCCCCCACCGGGGATCAGGCCCACAACCTGGGCATGTGTCCTGACCGGGAGTCAAACCAGCGACCTCTCGGTGCAGGGTCGACGCTCAGCCACTGAGCCACGTGGGCCAGGCAGTAGAATTGTTTTCTTAATTTCCTTTTTGAGGTTGCTCATTGCTAGTACATAGCTATCGATGGATTCACGTATCAGCTCATTCCTAGTTCATCTGGGCTGCCAGGTCCCAGCCTCAGTCGTTTGTAAATAACAGGAACTGGTTTCTCATCGTTCCGGAGGCTGCGAATCCAAGGTCAAGGTGCCGGTGTGGTCGGGCTCCGCTGAGGGTCCTCTCCTGGACTGCAGGCTGCCGACTTCCGGCAAAGCCAGTAGGGGACTAGGGACCACCCTGGAGCCTCTTCTATGAGGCGTCACTCCCACTCATGGGGGGCACGCTCTCACCACGCCACCACCTCTCAAAGACCCTGCCCCTTGTACCATCACCTTTGGGGTTAGGATTTTATTTTAGTTTTTTTAATTTATTTTTTAATCCTCGCCTGAGGATATTTTTCTATTTATCTTCAGATAAAGTGGGAAGGAGAGAGAGAGAGAGAAACATCGACATGAGAGGGACACATTGACTGGTTGCCTCCCCCGCGACCCCCACCATGGCCGGGAACAAACCACAACCGAGGTACGTGCCCTTGACCGGAATCAAACCCGAGACTCATTGGTCCGCGGGCCGACGCCCTGCCGCTGAGCCAAACCCGCCAGGGCTGGGGTTAGGATTTTAACATATAGCTTTGGGGGAACACATTCAGACCATAGCAAACTTGAATCGCTTTTTGGTGGAACTTTTTGAGTTCCCTATGTACACGGTCATGTCGTCTATGACGAGGGATAGTTTTACTTCTTCACTTCCAGCCCGGGTGCCTTTTAGTTCCCTGTCCCGCCTAATTGTTCTGGCTGGACCATCCAGGCCTGTGCTGAATAGCAGTGGTCAGAGTGGGCACCCTTGTCTTGTTCCCCATCTCAGGGAAAACTCTTTCATCGCTGACATGCTGTTGATGTGGGTTTTTCTTACCTGGCTTTTATTGCGTTGAGAGTATTCCCTTCTATTCCTAGTGTGTTGAGTGCTTTGTTTGTTTTTAGTCATGAAAGGGTGTTGAATTTTGTACGTCGAACCATCCTTGCATTCCAGGAGCAAAACCCACTGGGTTATGGTGTCTAGTCCTTTTAATATGCATCTGAATGGGTTTGCTAATTTTTTATTTTAAATCCTCAGCCAAGGACATTTTTCCATTTATCTTCAGATAGAGTGGGAGGGAGGGAGGAGGGAGAGAGAGAGAGAGAAACATCGATGTGAGAAGGACGAATTGTCTGGCTGCCTCCCACACTATCCTGACCAGGGCCGGGGACAATTCGCAACCGAGATACATGCCCTTGACTGGAATCAAACCCGCAACTCAGTGGTCTGAGGGTTGACGCTCTAACCACTGAGCAAATTGGCCAGGGCTTTGCTAATATTTTTTGAGGATTTTTGCATCAATATTCACAATGGATATTGGTCCATAGTTTTCTAGAGTGTCTTTGACTTACTTTGGTGTCAGGGGAATAATGGACTCATAGAATGAATTAGTAAGTGTTCCCTCCTTCACAGGAGAGTTTGAGAAGCTATTGTATTAATTCTTCTTTAAAAGTTTGATAGATTTCACCAGTGAAGCCTTCTTCAAGGACTCTTCTTTGTTGGGAGAGTTTTGGTTCCTGATTCAATCTCATTACTAATTATAGGTCTATTCAATTTGTCTATTTCTTATGAGTCAGTTTTTTTAGATTGTGTGTTTTCATGAATTTGTCCTTTTCTTCTAGGTTATCAAATTTATGTAAAATATTCTTTTTTAATAATAGCTTTATTTTCTGTAAATCAATAGCAATGCCCATTTCTGATTTTAGAAACTTGAGTCTTCTCTCTTTTTTCTTAGTCTATTGAGTCTTCTCTCTTTTTTCTTAGTCTATCTAGCTACAGGTTTGTCAATTTCATTGATCTTCCAAAGAACCAACTTTTTTTTGGTCTTCTCTACTGTTTTCTAGTCTATTATATTTATTAACTTTATTATTTCCTTTCTTCTTCTACTTTTAGGTTTGGTTTTCTTTTCTAGTTCCTTACGGTGTACAGTTACATTAATGATTTAAGAACATTCTTCTTTTTTAATGTAGGTGTTTACAGTTATACATTTCCTCTTAGAACTCCTTTGGTGAATCTCCTATGTTTTGGTATGTTGTGGTTTTTAATCCATCTCTAAGTCTTTTCTACTTTTTTCTTTGGCTTATTAGTTGTTTGTGAATTTTACCATTGTACTTCTATTATTGATTTGTAGCTTCATTCCTTTGTGGTTGGAAAGATACTTTGAATGATTTTAGTCTTTTAAAGTGTATTACAATGTGTTTCAGAGTGTGACATACAGTTTATCACAAATACAGTTTATCACAAACAATGTTTCATGTGCCCTTGAGGACAAGGTATATTCTGCCGTTGTTAGATGGTGTGTTCTGTATATATAGGTTAGATATAATTGGTTTATAATATGGTTCCCATCCTTTATTTTCTTATTAACCTCAGGTTTCTCTATTCGTTATTGAAAGTGTGGTATTGAAATGTCCAGCTGTTACTTTGGAACAATCTATCCCTCATTTTAATTAAGTCGATGTTTCTTCATATATTTTGGGGCTTTATTGTTTGGTGCATATATGTTTAAAAGTGTTACAGCTTCCTGTTGAATTGACTCTCTATCAATAAATAATATCCTTCTTTATCTCTTGT